ACCCTTTTTGAGCGCCGAGTACATCATCTGGTTGATGAAGGAACTTATCCCGTTCTGCGATCGATCAAACCTGAAAAGAAAAAAATTAAGAATCAAGCAACATATAATGAAAAAAAGACAAAAAATTTACAAAAAAATATTACCATGTTTGGTGTGGGCCCGATGGATGCGGAGTGAGAGTGAGAAGATGCTCTCGACCAGGCTGTTGAACCAATTGTTCAACAGTCATGGTACCCGGAATGACCGGAGGAGCTGGAGCTGGAAAATCCCCGACATATTGGTTCTGCGAAGATGCAGAACCACGAGAGGTGCCCGTCGAACCACCACGAGAACCACCCCGAGAAACACCTCGACCTCGTGGTGTGTGGCGGCGAGATCTTGCCTGGCTATCGCTACCCGACCTGCAAAAATTTAAAAATAGTTTAATATATCTAAAAATTGTAAAACTAAATATCAAAATCTTTTATAAATCTAGAAAAGTTTTATTAATTAACTAAATAGTTTTAATAAATCCACAAAAATAGTTTTTATAATTACAAAAATAGTTTTTATAAATCCAAAAATAGTTTTATAAATCCAAAATAGTTTTTATAAATCCAAAATAGTTTTAATAAATCAAAAACAGTTTTAATAAATACAGAGATAGTTTTAATAAATAAAAAATAGTTTTAATAAATACAAAATAGTTTTTATAAATACAAAAACAGTTTTAATAAATACAAAAATAATTTTTATAAATCCGAAAATAATTTTAATAAATCAAAAAACAGTTTTAATAAATACAGAGATAGTTTTAATAAATAAAAAATAGTTGTAATAAATACAAAATAGTTTTTATAAATACAAAAACATTTTTAATAAATACAAAAATAATTTTTATAAATCCTAAAATAATTTTAATAAATCAAAAAACAGTTTTAATAAATAGAAAACAGTTTTAATAAATAAAAACAGTTTTTATAAATACAAAACAGTTTTTATAAATACAAAAATAGTTTTAATAAATACAAAAATAATTTTAATAAATCAAAAAACAGTTTTAATAAATACAAAACAGTTTTAATAAATACAAAAATAGTTTTTATAAATCCTAAAATAATTTTAATAAATCCGAAAATAGGTTTGCTACATATAAAAATCTTTTATAAATCCAAAAATAAAAAAAAACTTTAGAAAAATTTACCAATCAATTCAATATATCAAATTATCCTAACAATATCATAATCCTAACCTATCAAACTCGTAATCTACCCTAAACCCTAACTCATAATCTATCAACACACATTCAAATCACCAAATCTATTACAAAACCTAATCAAAATGAACCTAAGTCAAGGGGAAAGGAATCTTACATCTTTGAGGACAATCTGACTCGATTTTAGGGGGAAATCGCCGGAGAATATCGAGAGGGAGGAGAGAGAGCGACGGCAACGGTTTGGAGAAAGAGAAGAGGAATGGGGAAGAAGAAACCGTGATTAATATTTATCAGAACATTCCGACGGAAAGGTTCCTCGGAATTCCGTCGGAAATCACTTAATTCGATTTTCGCGAAAATTTTGGCGGTTCAAATTCCCGGTTAATGAAAACATTCCGAGGAAATTCCGACGGAAACTTTAAGTTCCGTCGGAATTTCCTCGGAATCGAGTTTCAAGACAAGAATATTCTCTGCATGTCTTTTAATTGGTCGGATAGGATCCGTCGGAATTTCCTCGGAAAATTCCGAGGAATATTTTTTGTGGTTTCAAAACCTTGATTTTTAAGACCCTAAATAATTTCTTGCACAATTTTTATCTTGTTCAAAACATAGCATTACTGATTCTTTCCATTGATGTGCATAAAAAATGAAATTACAAATTTCAAAATCGATTACAAGTATTACCGTTCTCGTTGGTTAAAGTGTTAAGTGTTTCTCTAACGTTGTATGAAGATCGGTATACAATCGAGAAAAAGTTCATTAATGCGATCCAAACAAATATTTGGATTCATAATCTGTTTAATACAGTTAATAATATTTATTTAGGTCCTATTCTTATATTTGAACACCGTAATAAGATGTTTTCGATACAAAAATCTCAAATCCGTCGGTATTTCCTCGGAATATTCCGAGGAAATTTCGAGGGAATGGGGCAGTTCCTCGGAATGTCCTCGGAATATTCCGAGGAAATACCGAGGATTGAACCCCAAATTCTATACCCTAAACTTATACACAATTTCCGACGAATTTCCTAGGAAACCCTAATGTTTCCTTGGAATTTCCTCGGAAATTCTGTTTTTTTTTTAAAAAAAAAAACCTAAATTACTCTTCTTCAGACGATGAATCATCTCCAGATGAACTCGAATCTGTATCTTGGTGAAACTCTCCAATGAAAGGTTCATCCTCTTGGTGAACAATAGCTTCGTCTCCAAAGTCGGTTAAATCAACTACAAGATCAACATTTGCTAAATCTTCTAAGGCACTTAAGTTGCCGGATGTGCTTGGTTGTAGGGGGTCTTGATCAGAACTTCCCTGAACTCGACCTCTCGGGTTGAGTGATGTAACAGTGACCCATGGATCATCCCTGTTTCTANAAAGTCGGTTAAATCAACTACAAGATCAACATTTGCTAAATCTTCTAAGGCACTTAAGTTGCCGGATGTGCTTGGTTGTAGGGGGTCTTGATCAGAACTTCCCTGAACTCGACCTCTCGGGTTGAGTGATGTAACAGTGACCCATGGATCATCCCTGTTTCTAACCCGAGGATACTTGATGTAACAAACCTGTAACGTATTTTTTTTTTTTAAAAATTTTAAATTAATAATAGTAATATACATATGGATGAATCATTATGATTAAATTGACATATATATATATATATATATATATATATTTACCTGATCAGCTTGAGAAGCAAGAATGAAAGGATCATAATATTGTAGCTTTCTTCGCGAATATACTGATGTAACACCAAATGCATCTGTTCTAACTCCTCGATCTGCAGTGTTGTCGTACCAATCACAATAGAAAACGGTACACCGCAACCCAACCATGCACGGATACTTGATTTCCAAAATTTCGCTTATGTTTCCATAGAAAACATCATCTCCTGATGCAGACGACACACCAAAATCAGAAGTTTTACTTGAACGTCTTCTCTTTTGAGTTGTGAATGCATATCCTCGAGTACAAAATCTCGGATATGACTTCACAATATACTGTGGCCCACACACCATCTCGCGTATCCAATCGTCAAATGTTTCACCTCTTGCCATACCGGCAAACACCTATACATTTGAAAAATGTTATAGCAATATAACTTTATTGGTATAAATATGTATTGATGAAAAATAATGTTTAAGGCACTCACATAACAATACATCCATCCAGCAAATTCTCTCTGCCTCAGTTCTTTAAGTTCCTCATATGTGGCGTGTCTATGAGTGAACCGCTTTTCTGCCATGAAAATCCTGCAGAAAATATCAAATTAACGAAATGAATTAAGATTTTTTTTAAATATATATATATATATGTATATATATATGTACCTCTCATATTGCAGAAACTCTTCGCAGTTGGTGAGCAAATATGTTTGCAAATGATGAAGTTCCTGATCAGTAAGTCGACGATCCTTTGGTTTTCCGCTAAGTCGTCCAACATCTGTGAAGATGTTTGGAACCGTAACATAATATGTTGCTCTTTCGCCCCTATCATCATGACGCGCAGGTCTTCTATTTTTTGTCTGCACTTCGGCTGGAAAGTAGGACTCAGCAAAGTTTGAAGTTTCTTCATTGATCATTTGTGC